TTATTATTTTTAAGTATTCATTCCTATTTGCTATAAAAAGATTTTTTATCTTTACTCTCTAAGCTCAGTGAAGCGTGTTTGAGGTATAATATGTATTTTCTTGTACTAATGGAAAATTTTGTTACCAGCAAGCACAGAGTGCATTTAAAATGTCCTTTATCTTCAGGAAATGTCACTACTGAACCCACGTGAGTTACCACCGTCCTGATTTGCATCTGTATTTCAACACATCTTGCACCCTAAGGCTGGGATCTCCCTGGTTTAGCCCTCCTTTAAGGCTGCAGATCTCAGATCCAGATCCTGACACCATTATTTTCCTCTGATTTTCCCTGCTAAACTTTCATCTCACGCTGCCCTCAGCTATGAGGATGCTGGAGATGTTTTTCCTTCACACAAACTGAGATCCCCTTTGGAAGGACTTGGGGGTCACTGTGGCTCCATTTTGCCTGAGGCAGAGGGAGCACAGTTTTGACATCTTCATTTGATTTCTGTCCTGGAATTGAAAGAGATGCAAATTAGTAATAATGAATATTTTCATTAAAAGTGTCTAGACAGTACATCTGAGAACATGATAATGATACTTCTGCTTTATATAAAAAAGTCTGAAGTAGACCCAGGATGATTTTTTTTTTTTTTTTGTCAGAAAAGATAACATTTTTTTTTTTTAAATGTAATTTAGTGTAAGTGAAATTAGGGTAATTGCTAATTATGTAACTGCAAACGAGGCAGATCTTTATCTTGAGTCAAGCTGGTCTCGTGCAGATTATGAACCGTTACTTTCATGAGGTGGCATCAGAAGGCAAAAAATATCAGTGAAACAGTCCTAAGTAATGGCTCGTGTTTCTCAGGAGCTTTTGGGGTGTGAGGTATGAGGGATGGAGCATCACCCCCTCTCATTGCATGGGTTTCATGGCAGAATGGTTTGGGCTAAAAGGGACCTTAAACCCATCCCACCCCACACCTCCCACTGTCCCAGGCTGCTCCAAGCCTGGCCTTGGGCACTGCCAGGATCCAGGGGCACCACAGCTGCTCTGGGCACCTGTGCCAGGGCATCACCACCTCACAGCCAGAATTTCTCCCTAATTAATACCATCCAGATAGATAGATAGGTATCTTTTCCCCTTTCCCATTTGTCTTCTGCTGTGTCAGAGCAAGCTGCCACCTCCAGCCCTGCATTCCCCACACCTCAGCTCACATCTCCAGCAGGTTTGAGGCCCCAGGCTCATTGTCCCCCCCTGGGCCTCCAACGGTGTGACAAACTGCACTTACCACCCAACAAAACTTCATCCCAGGCTGTTCAATGGGAACAAGTTTTATTTTCCATATGTACTGGAAGGAAGTTAATAATACAAAACCCACCCTGGAGTCAAGTACTGCAAAATGAAGTCAGGAACCTTTTAGGATAAACATATTATCCTCACACAAGCTGCAGTACGTGGGTATTGGAAAAATTAAATGCACTTGAATAGCTTTGCAGATATATTTCTGTCTCCATAAAACCTACTGACAGTGAGCAAACACAAGAGCTTGGCAGTTGTCCTGCTTGGTTTAATTGCCTTTGGTGGATTTTATATCCATCACCTTCTTAAAATCCCTATGTTAACAATCCTGGCAGCTTCTTGTCCTGAAGACTTTGGGGTGATGGAGATGCTCGTACCTACAGAACCTCCTGCACCCACTGGAGGATACTCCCAACATGCTTAGATTTCTCTAAGGAATCCCTCCAGCTGTGCTTTTAAAAAATTATTATTAATTTAGCCTTTTGGGGGAGGGTGAGGGGGGCATTACATATCTGCCCTGGCTTTCTCTGAGACCTCTCAGAGTGATCCCTCTCTCCACCCTTCCCTGTGAGGGTGGTGGGGCCCTGGCACAGGTGCCCAGAGCAGCTGTGGATGCCCCTGGATCCCTGGAAAAGTCCAAGGCCAGGCTGGATGGGGCTTGGAGCAACCTGGGATAGTGGAAGATGGTCATGGCAGGGGGTGGGTGGAACAAGATGAGCTTTAAGATCCCCTTAAAGGATTTTAGTCCCTCCAGTTCCAGCCACTCTATGATCCCATGATAAGAAAATCAACTTTCCCTGCCTGCCTCTTGCTCCCCCAAGCTATCACTTGAGGGCAACTCCCTGTTCTCTGGAGAAAACTTGCCCATTTTCATACAAAGCTATTGTTATAAATGATATTAATAAGCCTCACCTGCATTAGCAGAATAAGCCTTCTCTCTTAGAGGACGGAGCTCCTCCTGGCATTCCAGCTGGAGACCAGCTGCAGAGAGCTGGGTGTGGCTGTGGCAGCTCGGGGCTGACCAGCCTTACCTACAACTTCTCCCCAAAGTGGAGGAAGGATCAGGGAGCTGTGGCAGCCTGGATTCCCCCAGCCACGGCTGGGGAGGGATGCTGCAGGCTGGGGTGGGAGCCTGGCTGCATGGCTCTTCCCTGGGGCAAACAGCAGAAAATGCAGGAGTAACGGGAGCTAGCTGAGATTATTTTAACTGTCAGACATCAGAAGCCCAAATGAGTTGACAGCAGCTCAATTTGATCCCTGCCATGAACTGACTTAGAACCCAAATTTTTCAGAGGCTGATAATCACCTCAGAATTGATTTTGTACCAAGATACTTTATCACATTCTTGTATCTGGTGTGGTTTGGTGGGGTTTTTTTAGAAGTAATCTATGTCAAAGTTAAACAGACTTTATTAGAAAACACATGTTCCCTGCACTTCTCTGGTTGGGTGTTCCTTTAGGGTAAATCATGGCGAGATGAAGGAATTGCTCCTGATTTCACTGGAAATCCTCACTCTGTTTCAAGGGTTGCAGTGCCCTCTCCTAGTGGACCTTGGTCACACCCTGTCCCAGCCCATCTGCTCCTCAGTTTCCCCATCCTCTGAAATGACACCTGCAGTATCCTCCTACCTAACCCAAGGAAAAGAACACTTGTATGTTCTTTTATAATTAAATTATTTTATTATTTTATTTTATTAAATTATCTGATGTAGGGGGATTTCTCTCACCCCTGGAAAAGTGCTATTTTTCTCAGGGTAGCCAACCTGTGGTACAAACCCTTAAAGAAATGGACATCAGTACATTCCAAGCCCCAAATTCACAGGATGGAGGGATCCATACTGCCACCTTAAAACATGACTGCAATTAAAGTAATATGTATGTGTAGAAATATAATGCCAAATTTTCAGCTGCCTTCTCAATGCTGAAACTTTATCTAGGTGTATTTTTAGGTCTTTCACAGGTTAGTGGGAAATGTAATTATAGGTTTGCATGCAGTACAGGATTAGTCCACCCTGCTGGTAGCATCTTGGCTAAAACCAGGGGAAATGGAGGAGGGGGCAGGGGGAGGGGAAGGTTGTTTTTATTGTTCCACACTCCCAGCACATTCTGTTGTTGTGCAAGAGACTGGTTTGGCAGCGGGGTGATCCCCAAACCAGGCGTGACCCGGGGTTGGTGCCGCTGACAGAACAAGGGAAGGTGATGGCACTTAGAGCAGAACGTGTGTTCTTTCACCTAAAAGAAAAGGGAAGGACTAAATTAAGTTTCACTCTTGTCTGGACTGGGATGTTTTGTCCCTGAAATGCCCGTGGGAATTTTGTGGATGATCGTGTGCTCCCTGCCTGCTGGGTGCCAGTGGGGGACAGTGTGCTGCGCATGTTAAAATCTCTCTCTATTACAATCTGGAGTTCTCCATTTCTGAATTATTTTAGGATTATTTTAGAGGGCTGAACCACCCTTAAGATCTTGTCTTTCAGTTATTTGACAAATATTGTAATTAAAAAAAAAATCACATTTCTCTGATGCTTCACCTGACCCTTCCCACGTGTTCTGCCCTGTGGCCCCTGTTCCCAGTTTTGTTTTCTGGGAAAGGAGCAAAGGGCTGCTCTTCCACTGGTTCTGCCCGTGGTGTTTATTGCCACAGTTGGAACAGATGAGTACAAATATTTGTTTCTGCCTCCTGCTCAAATTAGGACAGTGTTTTTTACCCGTAATCCATCAGGGTAAAGCATTCGAAGGGTCGTGAAAATGCAAAGGTGCCTGAGTCTCACCGTGCCTCTGCTAATGTCAAATCTTCATCGGAATTGACTTCCCAGGACAAAGGAGCTGTCAGATGAATGCTGATGCTCCATTAATGACAGGGTAGGGTGACCCACCCCGGCGTGTCATCATTGTTGCTGAGGGAAACACGGAGACAAACCCGTAATCACCTTTCCTGCATCTCTCCCACTAACACCTAATTTAAGTATATCTTTTTCTGCTGATTGATCACAGGATTTTTTTTTTTTTATGGCACATATTATCCTGCTATCTGAGTGCTTCACATTCTCCCTATTCCTTGACGTTTTCACATGATCCTGGTCCCAGCAGAGCAGGAGGTAAATTTGGGCTGCAAATGTCTCCACGGAGTCCCCATTGTCACCTTCCCAAGAGGACAGGGATGTCTTGGGGGATCACCAGGACCTGATCTCCCAAATCACGCTGGCAGTTCTGAAAAAGCCCAACCAAAGCTCCCTAATTTGTGATGGGGAAAGGAGGGGGAAATGGCATTTCATACATACCTCACCTGAAACGACAGGACAAGGGGGAATGGCTTCCCACTGACAGAGGGCAGGGTTAGACTGGATATGAGGAAGAAATTCTTGGCTTAGGTGAGGGTGGGCAGGCCCTGGCACAGAGGATCTGTGGCTGCCCCATCCCTGGAAGTGTCCAGGGCCAGGCTGGAGAGGGCTTGGAACAACCTAGGAGAGTGGAAGGTGTCCCTGCCCATAGCAGGGGGTGGAACAAGATGGTCCTTAGGGTCTCTTCCATCTCAAAGCATTCATTGACTCTGAAACTGCTCCTGGGTGGGGATTTCTGGAGTGGAGACCACCATAAATCAGAGGTATTTTGCAGGAAAGCAAAGTGATCACAGCACATCATCACTACTGTCCCTATGTGCCATGAAAGGGAGCACTTCACACATAGTTTGCAGTGGAGAACATGTTAAAATAGGAGGGTGAACCAGAGTTAATTTTTTATCAAGGTTCATAGATCGACTGGTGAGGCGAGAGTGGGGTCATCTTGGAAATGGCTGCAGCACATCAGCCTTGCTTGAATGTGTGAGTTTTAATGGCTTAATCCACCCCTCAGTTGCAGGGACCAACCCCAGGCAGGTGGGAGATGCACAACAGTTTATCTCACTCATCATCAAGGAGACAACACCCCAAACTTGCACTGAGCCCAAAAGGTTTTATGTTTAGCAGACTCCCTGAACCTCCTGGGTAATCTGTCTTGGATGAGAAAGCAGAACCCAAAAACATGTTCAAAGTTTTGGGTGCGTTGCAGCGAGAGCTCATCATTGAGGCTGATACCTGCTCAAGCAGAGCTGGCTGCTGAAGTCTTCCCAATAAACATTTAAACACAGGCTGAGCACACACAGATTCATGGCCTGCTGTAATTCATTAAACAAATGTTGGGTTTAATAGCCCCGTGTCCAAAGCTGGTGCCATGGATGCGCTCAGCTGTGAAATATGCTGGGGAAGTCATTCGTTTGCAAAGGGGTCTAGAAATCTGCTTTCTATTAACACAAAATGGGTTTACTGCAGAAAAATCTCTGGGATCACATTTTTCTCTCAATTATCCCTTCTCAGTGGGATTCCTTGAGGTTTGTGCCGGGTAACTGAGATGTGTCTAAGCTGGGGGGTTTGGAGCTGGGGTTTGTTTTGATCCATTAAGCTTGTATCTCGCCACAGTGATGTAATTCCCCCAGTCTGAGACACTTTATAAACATTAATGGGTTTGTTTTCATGCTCTCGAGGGATGTGCAGCACAGGAAGGTCGCCAAGACCATTTTACCCACACAGAAAGAGAGATGGGGAAATGTGGTGAGGCAGCATCACGGAGAGAAACAGAATATTCACTCAGATTTTTAACCTGTCCAGCCTTAACTCTGTTTAATTCAGTTTGAATAACTTGTAAGTTAGTAACTTATTATTATTCTTACTGCTGTAAGAACTTTCTACCTTACAGGTTCTTACAGCAGTACCACATCAGCAAGGTTTGCATAAAGATGCTGCTGAATATCCCAGCTGAGGAAGGAAAGAGTTGGTGCTCTGTATTTTATGAGTGAGAGGGGGGTAAAATGTGCTTGCCACAGTAAAATGCAGTAATAAATACACCTTTGCAGAGGGGAAAAACCAGTAGATATTAACAACTGCTGTAGCTTTAGTCAAGATGTGCTGGAAGAGACTGTGGAATGTGGGCCGTGCTGTGCTTTTCCTGGGGATTGCTGATGAGGTTGCTGGTCTCTTGGACTGGATTTTCTTGGGGATAACAACCATACAGATGCCCCTGGTGATATTTGGAAGGGGCCAGTTGGAAGCTGACCCTACAGCATGCCAGGGCACAACAAAACTGAGGCACAGACCAAAAATCCCACTTTGGAGATCTTGCTCCCATCACAGAGGGTCCATTTCTGAGGATGCACTGGAAGAAGCTGGTGATACAGCTCTTGCAGCTGGGAATTGTTCCTGCAAACACAGATACATGGAGCAGATGAGAAATTAATGTAAATATACAGACAGAAGGCAATTTTTTTGGAGGAAGTGAGGCAGAGGCAGATAAAAAGCGATCAGCAGAATTTACATAAGCCTTCCCCATCACAGAGGTCATCATTCTGCAGGATGACACACGGAAATTCATTTTTATTAAATTCTGGATGATTATTTAATTGGAAAAAGAAGGATTTAATTGAATCAAGTCAAAGGGCCCTATTAGATTACATTCAACCTTAACACAGAAGGCTTTTTCCATTTAGTTAAACTGGTTCCTTTGCATACTGTACATATTAAACTATAAAAAGTGGTAATCTGAATAGCAAATTAAAGGGTTTGGAAGGCCTGAATGGTACTCATGTGCTTCTCAACTCTTTTTCATCTTCTAAATCTTCTCATATTCCCTTTACTGCACTCCTTAGGTTGTAACAAGAGCAAAGATGAAGGGTGGAACTCTCAAATCTTCCTCTATCCATGTTTTTTCCATTTACACACTCTTGAGGAATAGCCTGCCTGGAGGTGATGGCACTACCAGAACACATTGCCCAAAACTGAGGGTGTTTTCCAGATTTTCAAGGCTGCCCTTGCAGCACCTGAACAGATGCTGAGTGTAGTAAGGTTGAATGAAGATTTGTGACTTACTGGCATTGACTCAGGTTTCCCTTGTGTCCTTAGGAAATATTCCCAATCTCTTCATGCCTCATCTACATGGCCAGGGACTCCCATCCCTCTGGGACACAGATTCCTTGCAGAGCTGTCAACTTCCTGGTAAAAGCTGGAATAAAAAAAAAATTAAATTAAAAAAATCTTCAAAACATTTGTGGGAAATAATATGTTTCTAATTTTGGGTCTTTAATTAGCTTTTAATTTCAATTTCTTTCTTAATTTAAAACTAATAGAAGAGGGATGGAGGCACAATTAATTTTCTAAGGTTCCATTTCATCCCAATTTTGAGGTTTCCAGCAAAAGTTTGGCCTTCTCATTAGGAGCTGGCACAACCCAGTTGGGTTGGGAATGCCCCATGCATTTTCCTCTGGCTGATATTGCTGTGACACCCTGTGCTCCTTCCAGGCAGAAGCTCAGAGAAATCAAATTCTGCTCTGAGAGATCGAAATCAATTTTAATGGATCCAGCTGTTCCCCAGTAAGGATAGGAGCAGGCTTGGGAAAGGGGAAAATCTTCCAAGATACCTTCAGGGGATTTCAGGAAGGCTTGAAAGTAGTAAGGAAAGTTTTTAGAGTGAGGTTTTTAACTTACCCATGAAGCCACAGCCAACTTTAGGACACATTTTTTTTTTAAATAAGCATGTGCTAATGTAGAAATTCTCTTTGTCAGTAAATTTTAAAAATTCCAGTTCTGACAGTGCAGCAACTCGACCAGTCTATTATTAAAGTTAGATTGAGTAAGAAACATCATTTGGAATTTGCCTTAGCAGCTAAATGGGTTCTTGGAAGGTTCAAATCAGCTTTAATCTGATTTTTTTTTATGATAAAAAAAGATGTGCCGGTACTTTAAAGCCAAGTTCCTTTTTGCTGAAGCTTTATTTTTATTCAAGTGCAATGAGTAAGTTTTGCATATATGGTACTGGGATTGCACACTCAGGTTATCTGGTTACATACATAATTCTCCCATTTGCAAACACAGTTTGCAGCACATACTCATGCAAATTAGGTATGAAACTGGGCATTTATCTTGATTAGAATTCAGTTGCTTTATATACTTACAGAACTTCATGTCATTCAGGGATGGCTGTAAAGATGATGGGGAAAGAATTTCCAAAATTGCATTTATTCTCCCTGTGGGTTGTTTGTTGGCTCTCTGGGAATTCATTAAGGAAAACTGACCTTTCCACTGATATTCCAGCACCCAGGTTGGGCTGCAGACACTGCTGGAAACTCTGTCAGAAATAACTGTCCCTTGCAGAGCCACTGTACCATTTCATGGAATAAATGCTACATTTTCTCTGTTTTACAATATCCAGATGGATTGATCCAGATGGATGTAAGGACTAGATGCCACTTGGCAAGGACTCAGTCCTTTTGACTCTTGGAGAGCTACTTGTACCCAGGATCCAGATCAGACCTGAGGTTTTGGGGGATCCAGGCTGCTCTTGTTCAGCAGACTGATTCAGCAGATTTACCCCATTTCTGTCCCCAGAAGCTGCCTGGAGACTCTGCACACCAAACCCCCTGCTCCTCCCTGGCTCTGTGGGATGGTGAAGTGCTCCTGCTTTACCTCATGTCCATCCCTGCAGCTCTCAGGAACGGGAGCCCTTTTCTCTCCTTTTTCCTGCATTTTTAATCAGGGCTCTGCAGTGCCAGGGCTGCACAAGGACACCCTGAAGTTCAAAGAATTGCCCCAAATTCTCAGCTTGTTCAGCCAAAAGCCTGAATTTAGGCAAATATCAGAGGGTTTAGCAAATTATGCTGGGCTGTTTCTCCCCCTTTACTCACAATTTCCTCTGACTTCTCCCTTAGCAAGGGTCCTTGCTCACTGTCCTGGCTCATCTCTGTGCTTCCCACACCATTCCTGTTTCTGTGAGGCTCCCACCCCACTGCCATGGGGGCTCCTGCCCAGTTCCTAAATCCATTTGTGAACTTTTCCAGGTACAGGTGGCTCAGGTGACAACTTACTTAAAACAGGGCTGCCTGCAGATTTGGGATGCAGGGATGGAGTGGGGATGTACAGCCACGTGGGCCATGGTCTCCAAAGCATCCCTGTCCATGGGGCTTGGAGCAACCTGGTGTAGTGGAAGGTGTCCCTGCCTATGGCAGGGTGCCGGAATGAGACAATCTTTAAGGTCCTTTCCAACACAAATCACTCTGTGATTCTATAATTTCACTTCAGTGAGGATGAAGCCGTCTGCACGGCTGCCACGGGCAGGGTGGCAGCTCTGCAGGCTTGCTGCAGCCCTGGCAAACACACAAGTGGATCCCTCTGAGGGATGGATAAGGCACAGGGAAACATCCGCGCTCCCTCTAGCAGTCGCCAGCGAATGGATGATACCAATAATTCTCGATTTTTCACCCTGGGTTCGTGCCACGTGAACCGCCAGTGGAAGAGCTCCTGCACTAGTACTGCTGCAGTGGTGACAGCACTCAGGTGGCTCTTCCCCCCCGCCCCAAAATCCTTCCAGGGCGATTTTTGGAGCCCATTTTCCTCCACCTGCTGCAGGCAGCTGCTGAGCACGGCCACGCTCAGGGTGAACCTGAGCGCAGTTAGCAGAACGCTTCTTCACTAGTGGCATTGTGAGCTCACCGCGGGCACTGCAGCATCCCCGCAGCACCCCTCAACTTCCCGGGGGGCTGCTGGGGGGGGTCTCACTCTCGCACCGCAGGGTCCCCCCGCTCGGGAGGGACCGGGAGGGACCCGCCCCGCCGCAGCCGCGCACCCACCGCGGATGCCCTCGGCCGAGCTGCGATCGCCTCCGTCACGGCCCTGCCCGGGCTGCCGGGGGGGGCAACAGGTAGGGGGTACCCCCACCCCCGCACAGCCTGTTTCCCCTTGTACCCCCTCTTCACAGACCCCCCCCACGCTTTCCTTTGCAGAACCCCTCTTCCCTTTGCGCTGCCCCCCTCCCTCTGTCGCCCTTTGCAAAGCCCCCCTCCCTTTGCACAGATCCCCTTTCCGCCTCCCTCTCAGAGCCCCCCTCCCCTTTGTCCCCCCGGCAGAGCCCCCCTCGCACCCTCCCAGCCCCCTCCCCCGGCGCCGCCCCCTCGCACCGCCCACTCCCCTCTCGCTGCTCCCCTTCACCAGCCCCTGCCCCCTGCCCAGCACAGCCCCCTGCCCGCCCCCCCCGCCGCTCCCTCTCTCACCTCTCTCTCTCTCTCCTCCTCTTCCTCCCTCCCCCCAGGCCAAAATCCTGCACATGATGGACGACAACAAGCAGCTGGCGCTGCGCATCGACGGGGCGCTGCAGGCGGCGGGCCAGGAGGTGACGGCGCTGCGCGCCGAGCTGGCGGCCACCGGCCGGCGCCTGGCCGAGCTGGGCAGCGACCCGGCCATGGAGCACGGCCCGCACGGCGCGCAAGGTGGGTCCCGCCGCGGGCAGGGGGCGAGGGGGCGAGGGGCAGCCCGTGGGGGTCCCTCCCGGCCGCCGCCTCCGCTCGGTGTTATTGTCCATTGTTTGTTTTTGGGGGTGCCCGGCGCGTCCCGTCGGGCCGTGGTTGCGGGTTCCCGCCGGGTTCGGAGCACGGTGCTTCCCTGCTGCGGCTGCTGCCGGCGCCTCGCTCGGCTCCAGCGGCCCCGGCACGAGGAGGGATCCCCGACCCCCCAAATACTCACTGCCCCCCGCATCCTCCCGCCGCCGCCGCCACCCCCTCTGTTCCCATCCCCTCGCCGCACCCCGCCCCGAGTCCCCCTGGCCGGATCTCCCCGGTAATCCCGCGCCCTCAGCCGGTTTCGTAATTCGGTAGGAAAGCAGCCATGTTACCGCCGCGATCCGCGATCCGCGCCCGGCCCCGCCGGCCCCGCGCTCGGACCGGCCCCGGGCTGGGGCTGCGGGGCTCGGGCTGCGGGGCTCGGTCCGCGCACGGCGGCCGGAGCCAGCACCGGCACCCCGGCACGGCTGGGAGCAGGCTCGGACAGCCCCCGTGCCATGCGCGCACCCCCTCTGCCCCCCACGCCCCCGAAAAGTTCTCTCCGAGCCTCGGGGCCGAGCGTGGAAAAGGGGGTGCAGGGGAAGAGACTTTGTGTGGAGGTTAAGGAACTGAGCCCGGATCGCTCCTCTAGTACTCGTGGTGCTCCCGCCTGGCTGAAATTGTTTCCTGCTAATCAAAGTGTGTTGCCATCACTGATACGTTTTTATTTGAATGGTTTTGTATTTTAATGTTTGTATTTCCCAAATAATTACAGGCTTGCATGACAGTTTACCCCGAGCAGCCTTGATGTCAGAGCAGAAATAGTGCGAGCCCTCCCCTTTCCCGATAACTGAATTTACACCTGTGTGATAAAAACGTCAGGAGCTGTTATTTACTCATTACTTATTTACTGTATCTCTTGGTAGCGTGGTTCGGCGCTATTTTAAATAACAGTAACATTTTGGTGAAGCTTTTTAAAGGTAGCATAGCGTTTGGCGGGGCATGGTTGCTGCCGGCAGGATGTAATCACGGAATTACAGAATCACAGAACGCTTTGGGTTGTAAAGGATCATAAAGATCATCTTGTTTCAACCCCCCTGCCATGGCTGGAACTGATTGGATTGCGTTGCCGGTGTGTTGTTGTTCGTGGCAAACTGATTTAGAAGGATTAATTAGTGGTTTTATTCCACCCAGCTTGTATTTCACTGTTTTGGTAGTGGGGGTGTGGGGTGTGAATTCCACTTACCCAGCTGAGTTTCCTGGTGGCTGTGGGGATGTGGGAAGCAAAGTTACCTGTGTGGCCAGCGATTTTCTGAAATGCTGTGCAGAGGTGCCTGTTGGGATAATCTCAGCCACCCTCTGCTGTGCACCACAGCCAGGCTACTGAGGCTCTCGCTTTTATAAAAATTTGCTGAAAGGGCAGGAGGAGGATGCCAGGCTCCATCCTTCCCTGTGGAGCAGGGGCATCAGGAATGCAGATGGTGACACGATGTACAGGGCATGCATGTGGAAACGCAGGCTTCCAGCCAGGAAAGCAGGTAAAAGCCTTCAGCTGCTCGTGCTCACACTGATTTCTGTGTGTGTGTTCAGTGTTTGGTTTCGTTTCCTCTCCAGGACACTTCTGGGGAGATGCACGTTTCTGCTGCGTGTCCTGGCAAGGGACAGGGGGGTGTGTTCTCTGAGGTTTGGGCTTTTTTTGTTTTCCTCAGAGGTTTTCTGATCTGTTGAGTGATGAAAAATCCTCCTCTTTGTGTTCCTTTACTATCAGCATGCTGGAAAACAGTTGGTATCCTGTAAAGGTGCCAAAGAAATGTGCTCCATTCTCCAAAGCCTGCGTGTTTCTGCTTATAACTCTGATTACACGTGCTTTGGGGTTGTGGGGTCCCTGTGATGGTTTTGGGGGGGAGAGAAGGGTGGCCCCACCCTCAGCTGGGTGTGAGAGTGGTACCTGCAGGGGCTGCTGAAGTTGCTGGAGGGTTTGGTCCATCTTCCCACTCCAAGCTGAGAAATTTGGCTCAGCATGCTGATGACTGGGAGTTAGGAGGAAGGACGCTTCCGCAGCAAGGTGTGACTCTATGGCCTCGTGGCTCTGAATGAGTCTTTGTCTTTCCCCATGAATTTAATAAGCTGTTATTAAAATTGTGATATATCCAGCCCTGTACCGCTGGTGTTGTAACAGAAGTCAATCAGTTCAGTGTAAAATTGTATCTAAAGAGTGTTTTGTCTGTCATGCTCAGGAAGGAAAAGGGGGAGAGTACTTGATCTCCGCAAAACGCTCCGAGTAGATTCACTCTGCTTTGTTTCCTCCCTAAGTTTGGTACTATTGTTTATATGCTGCCATAAATGCTCTCCTACATCACTCTGTGTTTGTGTAGACAGGCCCAAGATATCTATAGTGAGCCATATGCTTTTCCTCAAGGATTCTGAGACTACATTCAGAAGGATGGGGTGAAAACAAGAATCTCTGAATAGCTCTGCTGTTGTGTGTCTCCTAAGTAGGAGGACTGCCAAGCTGTTTGATTTATGCAAATATATTAAAGGCAGGCAGGAGGATGGGGAATAGGGTGGCAGCCTGCAAGTGCAGATTTGGGGTGTGCTGGTGGTGCTGGGGTGACAGGTGGGTGCATGGTGGAGTCTGCTTGGGTCTGGGAGGAAAAACCTGTGGTGGAATCATCAGGTCCCTTTGTTTATAGAATCCTAGAATGATTTGGCTTGGAAGGGACTTAAAAGATCCTCCAGTTCCAACCCCCTGACACAGGCAGGGACACCTTCTATCCCAGGGTGTTTTAATCCCCATCCAACCTGGCCTTGGACACTTCCAGGGGTCATGGGGCAGCCACAGCTCCTCTGGGTAGCCTGTGCCAGGCCTCCCCACCCTCACAGGAGAGAATTCCTTCCATGCAGTGGGAAGGAGCTCACGGTCACAGTGCTGCAGGCAGCTGCTCCAGGTCAGTCTCAAGCTGCATGGAAGGAGGTGAATGTGTGTGTGTCTGTGCCATGCTCAGTCGGTAATTAATACTGAGTGTGTCAGATGTGTTATTTGTGTAATTACGGTGCAACTTGAGACAGCTGGAGGTAATAACTCTGCCCCTTTTGTGCACTGAGACTTTTTTTCTGCTACAATGTGCTATTTTTGCCGTGGCAAGGTATGTTTTGAGGGCCTCTTTTCCATAATTTTAATCAAAACTGGAAGAATTCTGCGAAGAGGGAGAGCAGGATGGTGGGTGTGCGTAGGAAGGCAGGAATGGAACTTGTACATTGTTATAGTCCTCAGCGTGAGTGTTAATCATTCAAACCTCTCAGCCCTGACAATCTCTTTTAACTGGTGAGTTTGCTGGGAGAAGTATTTTGGCTGCAGCCTCTGTCTAAACTTGGATGCAGATCAGGGTGGAAATCAATACTTCATGTCCCCAGCTTTTAGCACAGCAATTACAGGCAGCACTCAGTAACATCTCTGCAGCCATGTGTCAGCACCCTCGTGTTGGAATCCTTGTTTGAATCTGTATTGTTTGAATTGATTGTGAGCAAGAGACATGCCCAGTGGTCCGGGGTGGGATGCTGGCAATGAGAGGGGGATGCAGCAGAGCATTGCTGTGGTGGGTCCATGCTTAGCTGTGACCCCTGTCCGTGCTGGCTGCACCTCTGGGCTTTTGGCTTCATGGCTTTGCCCAAGCTACCCCTGTATCTTCAGCAGTATCTGTCTGTGTGGAAAACTGATGTTTGGTGACAACTTACCACACTGCATCAAGCATTTGGTCCGTTCATCCTCGTGTTTTTGCTTTACTCTCCTTCCCACATTAAATGGAAAACACCTTAATTAATTAATGTTGGTAAAGTGCTTGAAGATGTAAGGTGCAATCAATGGCTAAGTGTTGTTAATAACACCTCGCTCAGCGTTTGGCTTATCTCATTTCTGATTTCAGAGCAGCGGTGGCGCACTGTGATCGCCGTGTCCTGGCCCCTGGTGTGAGGATTGGTGGTGTTTGCCATGGATGCTGACAAAATTCAGCTGGGAATGGGGCAGGAGCTGCACCTGCTCCTGGAATAAGGGGTTGCTCCTTGCTGCGCTGTTATCTTGGGCACATGCAGCGTAAGATTTCAGTTGTATCTCGGAATGTGGTGATGCCAAGGGGCTAGGAGGACCTTTCTGCTCGTGACAGCCTAAACCAGAGTTTTTTTCTTTTTCTCTTTGATCTCAGTATCCTTTCATAGCTACAATGCAAAGACTTTGACTTTTGCCCGGGAGGCAATCAGTTACCTCTGTGCTGTTGCTATTTTGTGAGTAATCATCCCAGGCTGTTGAAAATGTACCATTTTCATCTCTTCAGAAATCTTCCCTGCTATTTGTTCTTCCAGAGCTGGAGAGCTGATACTGTAAAGAAGCCTGAGGAATTTGGATACTGCTGCCCAGTTGGGTATTGGGAGCATTTTTGTACCATGCTTATCACAAGATCAAGGTCTTGTTGTACTATTACTCTTTCTAATAATTTCCTACTTTGTTTCCCTTTGTCCTGCATAGTTCAGGGAGCAACTCGTTTCACGCTCTAAAACAATTGTCTGTGCTGGGAAATAAATCTGTGCTTAGTAATGTTCCTATGGTTGCTTTAGACATGGGGAACTGCCTGCCAATAACACTCCAGGCCCCTGCCATATCTTAGTCTGTGAAGATGTTAATTTAAGTATCTTTTCTGGAGCTTTCCTATTCAAAAGCCTCATCTGGCATGGTTAGCGTAATATTTAGATTATTATTGCTTTAGGCTTTGTCCAGAGCAGTTAAAATGAAGCTTCTAAGGATGAGTAAGCTCAAATAAACTAAAGAATTTGAAGGAGGACTTAATCCAGGGCTTTTGACTCATCAATTTGAAATATAACCATGAAAATGGTGTTAGATTTGCAGGTGGGCAGAGGGACATAGAAATAAGTCCC